CAGAAGTATAGGAGCTGGCCTAAAGGCAGATGTCACGATAGACTAGTCTTTGTTAAAAATGAAGATAGAGTTAGCAGTGGTGTAATTGTGGAGGAAAAGTGCGGGGAATGGTCCAAAAGCAGCGAAATGAGACCCATTTCCACATGTGCCTTACCATTACTTGCGGGGGCCAGCCGATGTACAAGTCAGTGTTTTTATCCTCCCAGACAAGTCTGGTACCAATTAACCGACCCCGGAGGGATGGAAGGCTTGGTTGGCCCGGGCGACTCACGACCCAGGATTTGATCCCCGGACCGCTCGCGTGGTAAGCGCGCCACTTGTCACTACACCACTTCCGCCCTTCTATAACATAAAGAGTAATATTGAATGATGAACTCAAATGTACGTGAATGTAGAAATGGCCTAACCGATATAATAATAGTAATCAAATTTAGCAGTTTGCTGAAATCTGAATTACAATTTTCTTTAAGCCAAGTATTTGCAGTTTCCTACCGTCGAGCGTTTTGGCATTCTTGTCAGATTGCCTAGGCGCTAACAAGATGATGGACCATTTTACTGGTCGATTGAAAAAGGACTGACTCATTTAGGTTTCTGAAGTTATAAATGAAAGCAATTTTCCCATGTTGCCCAACACTTCCTCACGCTCCTTATCATTAGTTCTATTGTCACAATTACTTGTCGTGGGATTAGTGCTTTCTAGGCTACTTCAAGTCGTCTTTGGGGGCGCTGTAGTCTATAGAAAAGATATCTGCTCAATCCGCATGTTTCCCTGCGGTTCTTCAACAGGAATCATGCCTAGCTTAATATGAAGTGCAATAATGTTTATGTGTGTGCTTGAAATGCAATCGCGATAAAGAATTCTCTACTGCTTTAAAAACGGTTTATGTGTTGTGAGTATTCATAATGGTGTAAATGCCATAGGGCGGATTTTGCGCAAGGGAAAAAGCAAGCAACCCGCTTGTTGTGCCTCAAAGGCAAACCAAAACGCTCATGCTTTCAGGTCAGACGTTCTGAGCAGGGTCAACCCTATCGTTGTTACTTTTTGAAAATTTTTACGACCCCCCTCCCCCAAGGTGGATTTGGTACGACCCCCTTTTCCACACCATCATCGTCTCTATATTTAATTCTGATACCACTCACCCCCACCAAACTCCGCCCACTTTTACCTATATTTAATTGATGCTTCGGAAACGACGTATTCCCAAAACAGGCTAGATTAGAGCCGCAGACCTGAAAGAAAAGTTCTTATTCTCACTCCTTTCGACAAGGCTCGGCACCGGCGTGCAGGGCAAGCACAGTTCAGATGTGGTGGTGCGACAATCTGAAGGCCTTCGTTACTGCTGGGGAACGATAGCCTGATAGGAACCTCCTTGACGGTTCAATGTAGGAAATCCTGGAGAGGTAGGCTCGAGTGAGTCCGCAAATTCATTGGTGCCTTAAAGGGGGACTCCACGATCAGAACGAAAGTCGGAGAAGAAGAAACTCATCTAGTGGAGGAACAGGCGGAATTTTTGTGGGTGCGGACCGGCACGCCATTTGCATTGAAGATTATGTCCCCGGCGATCTAACATGACCTTCCCTATTGGCCCAAAACGCCCACCAACCAGTGCACTTCGGTGCAGCTTGGCCGATGATGTGGTTGTCGGCCGCAGCACTGTGAAATACTGGTCCCGTGTTGAAAAGTACTGATATCACGTATTTTGTATGTTGGACCCCAAGATTTCGGTAATAATGGAGTCATAGTTCGTAATGGAGGAACAGGATGGAAACAAAGAGGTACCCTAGTACCATTTCGCACCTGCCCTTTTCCCCTTGTCTGCATACAAAAACACTGTTAAATCTGTGCCAGTTTTTTTTACTTATTATTTATTTTATTTTATTTTGTGTCATTGTCAGTTTATACTGTTCCGCCGGCCTGATAAGTGCTTCATAGTGCGTCAATACTTTCCCACACCTTGTTCAGTAATAAAAATGATTATTCGAAGAAGACTATTTTCTGTATTTCAGATTTTTGCCAACGAGCGCCTTAGCACTACTTTCACGATATTTCGGTTCCAACGAGACCATGGAGACATTCAGAGGTCGCGCAAAGGCTCAAAATCAATGGAATTAGCTTTATTCTATATGTGACTTGAATTTTTCATGCTTTTTTCTGGTAACAATTTCAACATGTGCAACAATTTCACAACTGCCTTTGATCCAATTCTTTAATTTTGATAGCAATTCTTGATTTTTTTGTGGTGTTTCTTGTTAAGCCATCGTTTCTCTGAACTCATAATTACGGATAAGCGATGAGAAACCTCGAATATTCTGAATCATATCTATATATCAGATTACTCAAGAAGCAGTATATGTGTAAATGTGCATTATCAACAAAGAGAATGTTTTTTAAAAATTCTTTATATGTAATATAATCAGCGTGACGCCTACTAACTGATACTGATTGTTTCGTGAGATATAGAATTTTATTAGAAGTATAAGAGGAAACACATCTGGGACATTTTGTATATAAATCATTTTTTTTCAACTGTTATACTCATCATCAGATCACTGGTGTACAAGGTACAAGGTGGCCACAAATTACGGTAACTAAGTTACACCTATCTCGGAAAACGAGAGGAACATCGTGTGCAGACCACACACCACAAGTGACGACGGCCAAAAAAAGGGCTTTTTTCTTTTTTCTTGCCGTCGTAACTTGTGGTGTGTGGTCTGCACTCGATGCTCTTCTCCCCTTCCGAAATAGAGGCTAGGTGATCTTAGGAAATGTGTACAACTAAAAATAAGACAAGAGGAAAACAAAATTCATTCACCGGAGCTATCACCGTTCAGAGAAATTGCTGTTCTTTTTTTAGTTAGAAGCGAGGAATTTTTTTTGGAGAATACACTGCCTCGGCGTCTATATGGGACGGAATTCGTCTCAGACATTCTGAAGTGGTTCCTTGAGTATGTCAATGTTTCCATGATCTTGCGAGTAGGTGCTCGTCTTCACCACACTCCGTACAAAGTGATCCAGAAGATTTAAGTAGGAGTTTTGGAGTAAAGTGGCCACTTTCAGAATGCAATGATCTGGGAGCAGCCTAGTGGGAGCAGTGAGCAAGTGCTTGTCTCTGTTGATGAAGGAGTGTGCCGCAAGGAGTTCTCGAAAACATTTTGTTATAGCACTTTCACAAGTCCCTCTCATCGACGGCGGCACCCTATGAGAGGAAAAGTTTGCATGTGCGCCATAGGCAAAAAGCTCTTGTTTTTGCACCTGTACATGTTAAAATTCCAGGGGGATCATAAGTAAAGGTTAATTTACTGGTTGAGAAAAACAATCCTACGGTGTTACTTTTTGAATGACTATGTTCGAATTTTCATATATTTTATCGTTTCGCTGTGACTCCTTCGTACAAAGGTGTTTGCTAGATTCTATGAGACAGATTTCAAGAAAAGCTATTATGAGGTATGGGCAGTTTAAAATTTTTTTACAAAACGAAATCCACAAAACAAAGAAATCCCTTCGTCAACGCGGAGCATGGCGCAACTTCATAAACGAAGACGAGATTGACCGGAACTGATTAAACAATATTCAAGGTTAACGTCCTTTGAGATCTTACCAACAATTCTGCTATAAAGACAAGTTCAAGTAAATGCATGGCGCGACCTGATAGAATGAACTAGATTCTTTCAGTCATTCGACTGTTTAAAAAAACCAAGGAGTTTGGCTCAAATGGGATGAAAACGAAGCTTGAGTTTTCTTTGCCCTTCTCACCAATAACTAAAGCGTCGAGATGTAGAC